TAGGTTGGTAAGCGAACTGGTTGTTAAGTGAGATACATACTACACTGGTAGTGGGTTTGTGTCAACCATCTTTAATGCTTTCATGTCACCTCTGCACCATTTATAACATTTTCAGTATATTTTTAAATGTTTATACAGTAGTCTACTGTACATTGTAATAAATGGAATAGAGGAAATTGGCTCCAATATACATCACTTGGGTATGCATACTGATCAGAGAGATGGTCATTAAATGAGTATGTAGTCAAGTGAGGAGGGATTGTACTGCATTATCTATTTTTACAGTCTCATTCTCTGCATAATTGTCATACTAGACATTGATCTGACAATATAATGCCACCATCCTTTTCCTTCTAGTATTAATGCAGGACCATGCTTCACACCCATACAAAAGTCTTTGACACTACTATGAAGCATTTCTCTTTGCATTCACTGACACTTTTTCCAAACATTTCCTTAACACTCCTGAAAATTTCATTCCCTTAGCTAGTCTATGGTTTACCTCATCTTTCACAGATTCACTTGTTGATATATCTACTCGTGTATCTAAATACACTCACTCCTTCAAAATTCCTTCCTCCCAATCTGGTTTACAATCTATTATGCCCAAAGCTACTAGTTTCATAACCTTGCTCTGTGTTCACTTTCTACTTCATTTACACATTCAAAACTCTTCCAGCTTCTAAAGCTTCTCTTCTGAAGTTCCAAAATGCATTAATTTGCAAACAGAAACTGTGAAAACTCTTGCTTTATATTAACCATGGTGACATGCATATGTGTTCAAGACCCAGTTTCATTAACCACTATTTCCCTTCTTTCCCTACACACCCTAATCTCCACTGTTCATAAAATAAACTCTTTACAGCTTTCAACAACCTAAGTCATGTCAAATGTTTTCATTCATCAGTTTCTAAAAGGCTATTGGTACATTCCTACTTGTGTAATGCTTAGACACTATGGTAATAAAATGTAAGCATTTATAAATACAAAACAATAATTTTCAAACAAAATATACACTCTTTTGACTACAAGCATGTGTATGATCACTCAGTATTTGAGCTTCACTATCTCATTTTTACTTTCATCTGTCGTTACCACAGGGACATTCATCCACCCACTCATTTACACATTCTTTCACTCGAAAACCTGAAAGTGTTTTTAAAAAGGAGCAAAGAAAAACAGTTATAATTTTGGAGGATTTGAATTAATATAAAGAAAAATTAGCCAACTTATCCAGTAACTGAAAATAAAGTTGTAAGTAAAATTATTGTATATATTCAATAATGAGTGGATTTATGAGAAGTTTTAACATGTAGAGCCTAATGTTAAAAACAGTAAGATTAGAGGGTAAGTAGAATGTAACTATCTACTGTGGATAACTTCCTGAATTTTATTTCAATTTCGTAAACTGAAAGACAAATGAAAATTGGCAAACACTATACTAATATTAATAAAAATAAAAGAAGCAAGATAACATCTACGAAGGGATTCAGGGAAACCAATTAGCCAGACTTGAGCTGTGGAGCATATCTCCACCCCTCTGAAGGAGGGGTGGAGATATGCTGCAGTTTTTGAACAGTAGTATCGGCATGCCTCTGGCAAGACAGTGATGGAGTGAATGATAATGGAAGTGTTTCTTCTTTTTTGGGTTACCCTGCCTTGTTAGGAAGAGGCTGATGTGTTAATTAAAAAAATAAATGAACATAACTTTTATGTAAAAGCTTGTTTGTGTTTAGTCAAAATACAAGGTGTCATTACAGTGGGTAAAATCCTGGATGGCAACATCTTTCTCTGAAAACAGGCTATAGAACAACAAAATCCTGAATATCAAATTTGCTTCATTACTAATCCATTCTTTGAGCAATTTGGCAGAGTTTTACCTTGACTTCAGAAAAACTTTCTGTGATGTCTTGGCTATGTCTTGTTTGGATGTAATGTGTGATGTGAATATTATACAGAGAATTTGCAGCTTGGAGATTATGTGGGGGAGGTTACCAAAGGGTGGAGGTGGGGGCTGTTGAGATGGTTTGGACATATAGAGAGGCTGGAGCAAAACAGTATAGCTAGGAGAGCATATAAATCTGGGGTAGAGGAAAGGATGGATAGGGGTCATACTAGGTTAGGTTGGAGGGAAGGGGTAAAGGGAGGTTTTGAGTGCTAGGGCATGGACATCTAATAGGCTTGTTTGAGCATGTTAAATAGGAGTGGAGGCAAGTAGTTTTGGTGATTTGACATGATGGAGTGGAAGGTAATGCACTAACTTGTCTGTATGCAGTCAAGAAAAATGAATCTCTTCATGTTTCTTTACTGCATTCCAGTTAGACTTCAGTCCTGGAGGTGGGAAATGAAGTCTCTCTACTCAGAAGAGGTGGGAATGTTGCAGTCCGGAAGGTTATCCATACTATAATAAGACAGTGATTGTGGCAAGTGTGTGATTGAATGAATGGATAAAGTGCATCTTCTTTGTCTGATCACACTACCTTGGTAGGAGATGGACCATGTGCTAAACAAAAACAAAAACAAAAAACTAGGAATAACAACAACCTCAAGCTTGTACCATGGTGAACACACAAAATAATACAGGCTATGCTAGCTAACACAAGAGTGGCTAGCATACATGAATGTAACTCTTCAAAAACATGCTTTTTGGAAAACATGCCACCCATTCTTGAGTATGCAGCACCTGTATGAAACACTCGCCTAATAAAATTTAAAAATATAACTAAGTCTAAAGAGCACATTCAGAGTGGTACCTATTCTGAGGGAAATGAAAATGAAAAGAGGCCATCACTGGAGGAGCAAACAAATGAAATCTTTGCCTACATAGGGTAGGCAAAGATGGGTTCTTTACCAAGGATGTTTAACCCTTTTACTGTCCCTCACATAGATCTACCTGAAGTGATGCCAGGGTACCTCATGTAGATCTACATTAAGCTCAGCTCCCTCAGATAAGCTATGAGTGGTAAAATTTTGGCCTAGATATGAGAATGGGTCTGTGCAGTGAATGTGCACAGTATAAAAACTAAATCCTTCCCCACACAGTGCATGATGGGAAAAGCAAAATTCTGATCTTGTGTTTGGTTTAAAACTGACTGAGGTGTTTTCTATGATGGTTTTTAGTTTTATTGAGTTTCTTGGTACCATTGGACAGAATGGAATATATACTACTGAAAAAGGGATGATTTTGGTTTTTAATTAACAGAAGTAGCTTGAAATTGGGCTCAAGTTTGTGGAAATATTAAATTTTTGCCAGTTTTGCTGAAGACAGGTAAGGCCCCCTTACACCTCTTGGTCTGTTTCATGGGTTTTTACTATGTCTAATTCAATTATTGTGATGCTGTAAACCATGGTCAATCATACCTGGCTATATTTTATTATCCATGAAATAAGGTAAATCCTTGATTTTTTGTGTGGTGGTGAATTCAAAATGGAAGGCAAGTGTAATATAAGAGGCTTGGGGACATGATTAATGAACAGGAGAAATATTTAGTGCCTGGAATGTCTATAGTGCTTATTTTGGATTCTGTTTTTAGATTGACATTTCTTTTAATTTTGCATACAATGGACCAAATTACCAATTTCTGTGCACTTTATAGGGCAGTTCTGATAGATGAATGGTGGTTTCTTGCACTCAATCAATAGAACAATATCTAAGACTGACTGAATTATGTAATGGAACAAACTTTAAGTAAGACTCAAATTGGGTGACATTGCCAATGTGTAAATTGTGTCAACTGCTAATTTTGTGCCTGTGTAATTCTCTAAGTTTTCCAATAAATTTTGTACTTTTCCTGTCATTCCCTTCGAAAAAGACTGTCATTTCAGAAGATTTTTTTTAAATGTGGACTCAAATTTAATTCTGGGGCTCCTGACAGTGAAGGGAAGTAAAAAAAAAATGGGAGTCACAATCCGTGCAACAGGGATATCACAAAACATTTTAACAGTGGCAAGAAAGTGAAATCAACTGAGTAGTGAAAGTACAGTAAACCCTCGATATAACAGACTAATGGGAAGGGGATTGGGGAAATATCTAAATCTCTTAAATCAGAATGGAAAAAAATAGCAAAAAAAATGCACTGAAGTACACACAATTTGCAGATATAATGCAATAAACACTGAAAGTAAAGATGTTAAAAGTACAATTTACCCAGTGGATTCTGGCCATAATTTTAAAATTCCATTATATCAACATTCATTATACTGAAGGTTTACTGTAGAGGCAGATTCTATATAATGATTCAGAGATATATGAAAGGATTATCTCAAGCTAGTTGGCAGAATGTTGAGGTAGAACCAAGAGCTATATCTCACCCTCCAGCAACTTCAAATAGGCAATTACATCCCTTCTTACACAGTTACAGTATCTCATACTCAACAATTACACAGCTTGTCTCACGCTCGCTCACCTTTACATTCATACCCTCTTGCTTGCCCAATATAGTAAGTGTTGAGTTCTTAAAAAAAAAAAAAAATGCACAACGATGTTTACATCATTAGTATTTTTATTCTCTTGTTGGCCCTGAATGAGTAAGTACAAAAACTAAAGTATAAAAACTGTGCTTCCTTACAAGCAAGGTCAGGTTTTAGTTTCCCATGACTACCATGAATAGTGTTTAAATTTTATAACCATTATAAATATGGATGGCAAAATTATACCAATTAATGAAGAAAATTAAAGTATGATGTTTAAGATATTAGAAAAACTAAAACACACTGTAAATGGTAATCTAGTTAATCAGATTTGTACCATATAAATTAACCCATGAAAAGACTGTTCACTGTGTACAGTATATAGAAAACACTGCCTGTGTTTTGTGAATGACTTAGAAGGAACCACAATACAGCAATTTAGATCCACAAAAGATAATCCTTTTCTAATAGTTTTAATACATATTACTAGTTTATACAAGCTACATCTACTGGGATTTTTACAGAATAGAAGTGTGCCTTGGAAAAAATTACTTGCTGTTTAGTAATATCAAAGCCGTTCTGACACTCACCAAAATGCTTAACTCATCAGAGGGCTGCTTGATCTTAACTGACTGCCACAAAAAAATTAATAACAATAAATCATTGTATTTTATTCATTATTTCATATACATATTAATCTTTCACAAATTATTGCACATTATATATTAAAAATTACCTCAAAACATTTTAGTTTAATTTACACATACTAATGTAAAGCACACAATTATGTTAGAAGGAATAATGCTTAAAATATTTAGTAATAACACTTCACAAACATGAGATAAAAGCAGCTTTAATTTAAAACAAGGACTAACTGCATCATTGTGGCATCTAAGTGTCTACCATTTTACAATGAGATGCTTATTCCATCTCAGCTTCCGATCTCCTTTCTTACACAGCCTTATTTTTACTTCAGTGGACTGAAGGCATCCCAGAAAGACAGTGAGTAATCAAGCTTTAAGGCATGTACATGTGCACACACACAAAATTATTACTAAGCCTGAGCTCACAAACTACCCATACATATACTGTACATCTAAATAACAATACCAAACTTCTACAATGTCTTGACATTCATCCTTCAATATTTGTTAATTCCTTTGCAGTATACACACACAATGCAAGCTATTTACAAGGGCTCTACTTTCAAAACTCAGCATTCAAATTCAAAGTGGTTATGCTTGACTGGTAGTACATATTCCTAACAACAAAGCACCTCAAGTGTGCAATGTACCTGTAGAATCCTTGGGTAGAATGGTTTCTGGCATGCCATGGGGAGGTCACCAGCACAAGCTAAACTGTAGTTAACCCACACCCTATCCTTCAATAAAATATAAAAGATTATTTGCCTTTTTATTCTAATAGTCCTGTGCATATTGTATACACACACTATTATTTTTTCTCTCATTGGCCATTTCTCACCAAGGTGGGGGCGACCCAAATACGAAACATTCACCATCACTCATGCAACAGCTGTCCTGCTAGAATGTCAAGAGAGGTTATCTATACTACATGCATTAATTTTTGATTCAACAGATTTCTATTTAGCAGACTTCAGAAATAGAGAAAATCCACTGGTTAGAGCTGTCAGTTGTGGTTATGGTCATTACAAAACAATCCCATCTCTACCTACCACAGTCTCCTTGACTGGCCACCTACTTACCCCAAGTAACCCATTAAATCAAGGGTTTACCTAAAGTGAATTATTTTTACTCCATTGAAAGGGTGTTAACCCGTAGGTCATACAGTGCCTGGAGGTAAGTAGGTTTGAATCTGGATCAAGAGCCCTTCACTAGCATCAAGGCACCCCTTTTAAGAATGCAGAAGTGAAACAAGTTCTTCAAACCAAGGAAAGAAAAAACTACAATAATGCCTAAATAGTAGAATGGAAATTTTCTGATCTTTCTGAAACTAAGAAAAAACAATGCTACAGTGGAACCTTGGTTTTCATGATTAATCCATTCTAAAAAGTCTGATGAAAACCGAATCGTAGAAAAACTGAAGCAATATTTCCCCATAAGAAATAATGTAAATCCAATTAATCCGTTCCAGACACCCAAAAATATTAACAAAAAATACATTTTATAGAGAATAACTACAGTTTTACATGCAGAAAACAATGAGAAATAAATATAAATGACTAATGAAATGGATAAATGAACATTTAACATCACTTTTACCTTTATTGAAGACTCCTGTTGGCGTATGGAAGACGGCGAGGAGGGAAGAGGGAGGAGGAGAGGTTATTGTTTGGAAGGGGAATCCCCTTCCATAAGAACTTCAGGTATCAAGGCCCTATCCAGGGTTACTTCCCTTCTTTGTCTTACTGGCACTAGGATCAGCTTGTCACTGTACCCCTGTCACACAAAAAATCTGTCCAGAGGTGTCTGTTTTCTGGAGTCTAAGATTTGCCTAAAGGGGACAAGGCACTGTCATTGAACATGTTGCAGACATGGCTTGCAACAGCTTTGTTAGGGTGATATTTCTCCACAAAACTCTATGACTCATGTCCATATACACATGTCCTTAATCACTGAAGAAGGGACATTCTCCCCTCTCTCTTCCTCCTCCTCTGAAGCAATATCCTAAGCTGCAGTCTGTTGCTGTTCTAGTTGAAGGTCTTGCAGCTCTTCAGTGGTTAGCTCTTCCCTGTGGTCGTTCACCAACTTTTCCACATCCTGACCACTTACATCCAACCCCTTGGAATTCCCCAAATACTCAACAGATTTCACAATAGGCATAGGGTCATCAGGGTCAGCCTCAAACCCTTCAAAATCCTTCTCAAGGACACATTCTGGCCACAATTTTCTCCAAGCAAGAGTTCATCGTCCTGGAAGTCACTCACTACCAAGCCTTATCTATAAGGCTTATGCAATTGAGGATATTGAAGCGATTCCTCCAGAACTCTTAGGGTCAATTCAGTGTCTGAGGTCACTCCAAAGCACCTCTGAAACAGTGCTTTGGTGTAGAGTTTTTTGAAGTTTGAAATAACCTGCTGGTCCATGGGCTGGATGAGAGGAGTGGTATTAGGGGGCAAGAACTTCACTGTGATGACACCAAACTCCTCCAACAACTGGTCTTCCAAGTCTGGAGGATGAGCAGGAGCATTGTCCATTACCAGGAGGCACTTGAGTGGCAACTGATTTTCCAGGTGGTATTTCTTCACACTCAGGCCAAACACTTCACTGACCCATTAAATGAAAATTTGCCTCATGGCCCATGCCTTACCGTTAGCCTTCCACAACACACAATTTACTCTTTATGACATTGTTTTTCTTGAACACTCGAGGATTTTCAGAGTGATACATCAGTAAAGGCTTCACTTTGAAATCCCCACTAGCATTACTACAGAACCAAAGTTAGCCTATCTTTCATAGGTTTGTGTCCTGGCAGTGCCTTTTCCTCCTGCGTGACGTAGGTCCTTTGCCATTTTCTTCCAAAAGAGGTCTGTTTCATCACAATTGAAGACTTGTTGGGGAGGAATCCTTCAGCCTCTATGTACTCCTTGAATTCATCAATGAATTCTTCGGCCCCACATTTGTCCGAACTAGCAGCTTCGCCATGCCTTACCACTGTGTATGCCAGTTCGCTTCTTGAATTTATTGAACCAGCCTTTGCTGGCCTTAAATTCACTAACAGCAGCACTCATTCCAGGCATTTTCTTTGCGATATCTGCATGTAACTGCCTTGCCTCGTTGAAAATTATCGCCTCCAAGACACACACACACACACTGTTGTTCATTGATCCACACCAACAACTTTTCAATATCTTAGACTGTTTGCGATCTCTGTTTCATTAGTACATTTACCCCTTTCGCAACATCGGCTTTCTTGATTTCTTTTTTCTTCACCAGGATGGAACTGATCATTGATTCAGACTTCATGTACATTCTGGTGAGATCGGCCACACGTACGCCACTTTCATACTTTGCTACAAGTTCTTTCTTGAATTCTATCATGTTTCTCGCCTTCTTTATCAAAGGGCTGGCACCTGGAACTTTCTTTGGCCCATGGCCGGGCTCCAAGAGTAGACAAACTCTCAAAGGTCTTCAAAGGTAAGGTGTCTTATTTAGCAGTTGCATTCAATAAACAAGCACAAGAAACAATGGATTATTATGAAAATGTTTTGGATGAACGCACGGGGTGATGCTCACTCAAGGAGAAACAAAGGCAGACTGAGTCACGAATGCATGGGACGCTTTGTGTGGGCGCCTGAGTGGCCGAGTCATGCAGACGCGTTTGGTACAGACCATTTTCAACTCTACGAAAACCGAGCGGATGTACAAAAACTGGGACAAAATTTCAACGAAGAAAGTCGTCGAAAACCGAATCCTATGAAAACTGGGGCATACGAAAATCAAGGTTCCACTGTAGTAAGTAAAGATATACCTTTGCAAACAGTTTTGGTCCAGCGTGAGCGGCTGGAGTCAATTCCATTCTAATATCTCACTATGTTCAATTTTATCAAAATTAATTTCCTCCCAGACTTTTTCACAATTTCTTTCTTCAAAACTGCTTATTATGCTCAGCAAAAACTTGTCAATAAATATTTATCCATTGTCTCATGTTCTACTATCACCCTTGCTCTCCCTCTCTTGCATGTGCTCCCATTCTATTGCATGTGCTGTCGCTCTCTTGCTCCCTCACTCTCTCGTGCACTCACTCCTCATACTCTTGTTAATCCTCTTCTCAAAACGTACATTGCATCTTTTTAATGGCAATTCAAATAAACTCTCCCAATGACATTTATCCCCAGCACTCAAAATTTCTTCATAGTCCTTCAATAATATATCACACTTTTACATTGAAGTCTTCTCAAAAAATTGTATCTCATTTTGTTCAGAATTCCCTTAACATTTACTTAATCCTCCCTCAAAGAAATGCTCTCTCATCTCACCTCTGGGTGTTCAAATACTTATGATAACTCCCAACCCCTACTTCTCCCATTCCACTTTTCTAAACCACATTACAAATATTAAAAATTTAAACCAATCTTTTTATTTCCCCCCCAACTCTTTATTTAGCATTACTGCTACTACTCCTTGTTCTCATTCTCTCAGATAGACCCAACTAATCCCATTTACTCTTTTCCACTCAAATTCTCCATCTTAACTTTCAGTGAGTGCCATGGCATCCAGTTCTCTCTCATTTATAATATTATCAATCAGTTCTTTAACATGAGTACTTATATTCATGCCCATTCAAACTACATTAATTCCCAAATTTCCTCTTTTTTTTCTATTTTAATAGCTATATACAGAAAAGGGAATTACCAGCTCATGGCATTTTAGCCACTTTCAACAAATGGCTGACAGAAAAGGCCATGCATATACAATATGCATATAGTATGTTTAACTAAATTACAATGGTCAACTGTAATATGGTGGCAGTATCTAAAGAACAGTGAAAATAAAAAAGTTCAAAGAAATGTGAAAAAAATGTAAAATAAAGTATAAAATACAAAGAAATAAGAGCTAGAAAGAATGAAGGCACTAAAATGCCCAAGAACAATAATAAAAAATTACACATCATATAAAGATAACAGATATATAGGAAAGATTCCTCATAAAAAAAATATGCTGATACTTGGATTAGGATCCACTAAAATTTTAAAAATACTTAAGATAAATTAAAGGAAATGAGCCCAAAAGCTTGGCTCTACTTCTGCATCTATAAGAATTTTATTCACAAATAACAGTATCCTTAATTAAACTCGCACCCATCCACTGGCACCTACTCACTGTTCCTTACACTGCAGTATTATACTACTTGACATTTTAAAAGCTAGCTAAGCCTTACCTGAGACTGAACGTAATTCTGTGGAGTGGAAGTTCGTCTTAAGTTTGACGAGCGAGTAGCTGTCTGTGAACTTGGATGATTGCTAGTCCCAGTAGTATAGCCAAGTGCACGATACAATCTATCTCTTAATTCAACCATATCCCCCTAAGAGAGAGAAAACTTAGAAATGCATACAAGGTTTTTAACCAGACAATTTGAAATATCAGCCAAATCAGGTATTAGGCTGTTTACCTCAAATGTTTACCTAAAATAAGTGTTTCAGAGTGCACAATTTCTGATCAATATGTAGCAAGGCCAAACTCCTGGAGGTCTGAGTCTCCCCTACAAACTCAATTATACATGAATACCTATAACTGAAAACTTAAATGTACTGTATGTAATGTGCAGTATTTACATTAGGATATTCTACAAGAGACAAAGGAACCTCACCTGAGTAGCAGAATTTAAATATGATACTGCTGTAGTAAGTGAACCCTGTGCAGCAAGGAGAGATGCATACTGGCAGAGAAGGGAGCTCACAGCATTGCCCTCACTCAGGTTAGTAGGCCGACCTGCAGCTGACAGGGATTGTTGCAGTCCCATGATGATTTCTACTAGGTCCTAAAAACATTTTTTTTTTTTAATCTAGCCTTTCATCAGCCGTCTGTAAATTCTAAACACTACAAAATTAAACTTTTGCCATGTTGATTTTGTTTTTAGACTGGTTGCACAGAAATGAGCATACATCTTTCTAGGTGTCCATACATTACAAAAATCATAAATTACACACCTGCAAATTATTTGGCTGATTTGTCTCAGGTCGTGTCTTAATCCAACAGGAAACAAACTTCTCCAGGCTCCCAGCACAGACATAACAGATCATTGCTGACAGTAATGATTCAGGATCTCCCTTGGCTTCAAGACGTTCCCCCAGACTCTCTTAAATAAAGAATTGAAATGTTCTGAAAAACTATTTGACCTATTTGAAATGCATTACACTATGCATTACACTGTGCTTTTGGGAGATTCTGAAGAGAAGATGCAGAGGTTGGTGGATGAATTGAAAGAAAATTAAAAGTGAATACAGTAAGGCCCCGCTTTACGGCATTTCGCCTTATGGCATTCCGCTAATACGGCGATGTCAAATTATGACCAAAATTTGCTATATGGCAAGCGGTCTTTCAAATATGGCACCCCCACCCGGTTTGTTTACATTTTCCGTGACAACATCTATTATGTCAGGAAACTTTCCAAAATTTCAAGTGTTTTAAAGTTACTGCATATTTTATATGTACTCTGATAATTATACTTATGTGTACCTGTACCTAAATATACTTACACACTGTGCTGGTGTGCAGGTACACATTAAAATCGCTAAGTCTCTCTCTACTCATGACGCCAATACTACGTAATAATAATCACTCTTGGGCACACTAAATGTCTTATAGGCATTTTCATTAATCCATCTATGATATTTTCCTCAAAATTATATATGAAACCTGTTACATAGCATATAAACATGATACATACACTCACAGAATAAAAAGTGATGTAAATAAGAGATTTGTTTACAAAGCAGCTGTGTAGGTAGTGTCGGAAGAATTATGTTTTCTCTAGTCAAACTGGGGGATAACTGTAGAAAAATATTCTTTTCGTATGCCTTTACTCTATACAGTGGACCCCCACTTTACCATCGCCTCCCAGTGCGACCAGTTATGTAAGTGTTTTTATGTAAGTGCGTTTGTACGTGTATGTTTGGGGGTCTGAAATGGACTAATCTAATTCACAATATTCCTTATGGGAACAAATTCATTCAGTACTGGCACCTGAACATACTTCTGGAATGAAATAATATCACAAACCGGGGGTCCACTGTATATAGCAATTCACAACCCTTGTGGGTTTAGTGCTTTTTATTAATAATAATAATAATAATATCTTCATTCACTCTAAAAATGGTGTTGCTTTGTTTATTTATTCTGTACTAACTTGTACAACTTGTACACAATGTAAGAGTATTTGTATTGTGAGGTAATTATTATTATAATAAAAAAATATTGAGGTAAATGTTTTACAAACTCTTACAAACGTACGTGAATGAACTAAAAGTAGACACACATTAATACGCATTTATTTCGCCTGACCAAGTGATTTCCCACTACCTGTTCAGTTTGTGTTTTTACGTTGTCTCAACTCTGTATCTCGTTCTCTCTCTCGTTTACTCTTTCATTAACTAGTTGGTTCTCATTGACGATGGCGTCTAAGGTTAGCTGTGATAAAGAGAGAAGTCGTAAGCCTCTTGCTTTAAGTGCCAAGTTAGAGGATGATGGTGTGCCATTCTGATTTTATTCAATAAATACCCTGCCACTCACCTCTCACACATTAATATTAATATTTTAAGGTAAGTAATAAGTGTACTCTGTGTGTATCTTACCTTTTATTGTGTTTTTAATGCCTATTTCTATTGCTAACTTAATATAAGTTAGTGTAAACTTGTTGTCTGGCATTTATTGCATATTTTATGTGTGCTCTGATGATAATAATACTTGTGGACCTGTGTGGTAGCCGGGTGGAGGGACAACATTACGTTTCCTCTGTTCAGCCATCAGAGAAAACGTTTATAAATCTGCGTTTGGCCCAGCCACTCCCTCACTCCGTTTTTTTTACAATTTTCGGCATGAATTATTCATTACCTCTACCTTCGTTTATGATGGCATCTAAAGGTAGTTGCTAGAAATGATTAAATTCAGTGAACAAGGTATGTCAATGTGTGGGCTCTGGCCCACAGTGTAGATAGCCGGTAGGTGTAGCCCAGGCGGGCTACACCTACCGGCTACCTACACTGACTTCCTACAAATAAATACTACTCACCTCTCTTCCTATATTAAGACTACGCATATTTTAAGGTAAATAATGAGTGTACTGTATGTGTATTTTACCTCTCTGGGTTGTTTTAAATATTGTATATTAAGTATGAGACAGGGAACCAGGGCTACCTACACCTGGGCTACCTGCACCAGACTTCCTACAAATAAGTACTACTCACCTCTCTCCCTACATTAAGATTACAAATACTTTAAGATAAGTAATGAATTTACTGTGAATGTATTTTACTTTGTGTGTTTTTAATGCTTAGTTCTATTACCATCTTAATATAATTTAGTGTAAACTAGTTGTCTGGCATTTATATGCATTTATAAATGGAAAAAAATGGCATTCTGCCTTCCAGCGATGTCTGCTTTCCGGCGACAGCCTGGAACCTAACCCGCCGTATAAGTGGGGCCCTACTGTATAGGAAAGAGTAAGGTGAGGAGGATAACAAAAAGATTAGGTGATGAAAGATTGGATATCAGATTGGAGGGAGAGAGTACGGAGGAAGTGAATGTATTCAGATATTTAGAAGTGGACGTGTCAGCAGATGGGGTCTATGAAGGATGAGGTGAATCATACAATTGATGAGGGGAAAAGGGTGAGTGGTACACTTAGTAGTCTGTGGAGGCAAAGAGGGGAATATATGAGAGTACAGTCATACCAACACTCTTATATGGGTGTGAAGCATAGGTGGTGAATGTTGCAATGAGGAGAAGGCTGGAGGCAGTAGAGATATCATGTCTGAGGGCAATGTGCAGTGTGAATATAATGCAGAGAATTTGTAGTTTGGAAATTAGGGGGAAGTGTGGGATTACCAAAACTACTATCCAGAAGGCTGAGGGAAAAGGGGGGGTTCTGAGGTGGTTCAGACATGTAGAGAGGATGGAACGAAACAGAATGACTTCAAGAGTACATAAATCTGTAGTGGAGGGAAGGTGGGGTAGGGATTGGCCAAGGAAAGGTTGGGGGAGGGGGTAAAGGAAGTTTAGTGTGCGAGGAGCTTGGACTTCCAGCAAGCATGCGTGAGCATATTTGATAAAAGTGAATGGAGACAAATGGCTTTTAATACTTGACGGGCTGCTGGAGTGTGAGCAAAGTAACAGGACTTAAGTCCGGCAGGCCGGACTTGAGTCCTGGAGATGGTAAGTACAGTGTCTGCACTCTGAAGGAAGGGTGTTACTGTTGCAGTTTTATAACTGTAATGTAAAGCACCCCTCTAGCAAGAGGGGTGGGAATCGGCCAAAGTGTTAATAAAATAATAATTTATAAATTTTTAAGTGTAATTCAAATAATTGCAAGTGTCTTATGTAGCTGGAAGAGCAAAAAAACATTTGTTCAACAACTTTTCATGCTGTTTAGCATTATCAAGTGGATGAATATGTTCCTAAAACAAGGGGAAGAGAACAATTGATCTGACAGACATTTTACTCATAAAACAATGAGCAAAAGAGAATGACTGATATGACAGACATTTTGCTAATTTAACTTGTGCAGTAAAACTCTGCCTGTCAAATGACTACACTAAGTGACATTATTAATGCTTATATTCACTATCATTCTAGGTAGTAGGTTGGTAGACAGCAACTGCCCAGGGAGGTACTACTGTCCTGCCAAGTGAGTGTAAAACAAAAGCCTGTAATTGTTTTACATGATGGCAGGAATGCTAGTGTCCTTTTTTTTCTGTTTCAAACATGCAAGATTTCAGGTATGTCTTGCTACTTCTACTTACACTTAGGTCACCCTACACATACATGTACAAGCATATATATACACACCCCTTTGGGTTTTCTTCTATTTTCTTTCTAGTTCTTGCTCTTGTTTATTTCCTATCTCCATGGGGAAGTGGAACAGAATTCTTCCTCCGTAAGCCATGCATGTTGTAAGAGGTGACTAAAATGCCGGGAGCAAGGGACTAGTAACCCCTTCTCCCGTATAAATTACTAAATTTAAAAAGAGAAACTTTTGTTTTTCTTTTTGGGCCACCCTGCCTTGGTGGGATACGGCCGGTTTGTTGAAAAAAAAAAAACCACTATCATGACTGAAAATGATGTAGCTTGCACTAAAAAAATGGAATGTGTAAATAGAATGAGGCTTCTCTTGTACAAAGGTGGAAAAGCAACGTAGAAAAACTAGAGATTGGTACAAGTCATGGAAAAAAAAGCAGAAAACAATATTAATTGCCAGGGCAGTCTTAAATTGGAAAAAAAATGTTAATGCAATGACAAAGATAATTTAATGAATAAATTGTTTTAACTAACCTGCAAGGGCAGGGAACTGCTCATCATTGGAATATGTTAGAGCTGCAACTAAAGCTTCCTTCCACTTGCTGAGATTACAAGTAGTAGTGATGGAAGTCAAGTCACCACGGACAACTGCACTCACCAGTGATGATAAACTGCCATCCACTTGGGCCAACACAACATCTCGAGTCTGTCCAAGATGAGTTATACAAAAGCAATAATAATGTCAAAAGAGCAGATACATAACTGAACATGCCCCATCCCCCATACCTTTCTTGGAGTTTATCCATTGTCTTTTCTACAAAAGCAAAGTGACAGTGTAGACCCTGTCCTAAAATTGATGTTGCAACAGTTAAAAGAACCTTTTTCTTATAATTTAAAAAATCAAAAGAATGGATTAACAAAAAACTGTTGTTAAATACAGAAATAAAGTTAATCTTTCATACTCTGTATGTGTGTGTGTTTTGTGTGCGTGTGTGTTGTGTGTGTGTGGTGTGTTTGTGTGTGTTGTGGGGGGGTTGTGTGTGTTTGTGTTTGTGTTGTGTGGTGTGTTTGTTGTGTTTGTGGGGTTGGTGTGTGTTGGTGTGTGTTTGTGTGTTTGTGTGTGTGTTTGTGTGTGTTGGTGTTTTTGTTGTGTGTTGTGTTGTGTTGTGGGGTGGTTTTGGGGTGGGGGTTGTTTGTTGTTTTTTGTGTGTGTTGGTGTTTTGTATTTTTTTTGTGTGTGTGTGTCTCCCCTAGTTGTACTCACCTAGTTGAGTTTGGGGGGGTCGAGTCCGGCTCCGGCCCCCGCCTCTTCACATCGCTACTGGGTACCTCCCTGAGCCGTGAGTTTTATCAACCCTGTTTAAAGCAGTAGGGACCTGCCCCCACTCATGTTTCCCAAACTATTCACTTACGATACTCTGGGGCTGAAGAAATACTTCCTAACACCCTGTGATTCTCGGTTTCTTCAGTTTCCAAACTGTGTCCCCTTTTTACTGTGTCCAAAACTTGGAACACCTGTCTTTGTCCACCTTGTCAATTCCTCCAGTATTTTGATGTCTTACAGCCCCCCCCTATCTCTCCTGTCCTCCATGTTGTCAGTTGATTTCCCTAACCTCTCCTCGTGGACATACCTTTTAGCTCTGGGAAAAAAAACTAGTTTGTTGAAAACCTTTGCATTTTTCTCTATTTTTCTTCACGTGTTTGGCAGTGGGGGTTTCCAAACTGGTGCCGCATACTCCAAAATGGGCCTAATAAAAATGGTGTACAGGGTCCCGAATGATTCCTTTAAGATGTCGGATGCGTTTGAGGTTGCTGGGCGCCCTTTGTTTGCAGAGTTATTTGGTTGATGTGCGCTTCGGGGAATGTGCCGGTTATACTCACCCCGATCTTTTTCCTTGGTGAGGTTTGTAGTCTCGGCCCCCCCTGATTTACCCCGTCCGGTTTCTTTCCCTTTCCCCAATCTTCATGACTTTGCATTTGGGGGATTAACTCCAGGAGCCAATTGCGGGACCGGGTCTGCAGCCTTCCAACCCCTTTGTCTTCCCCGGGCTTCGATCGAGTGAATTTTTTCCATCAACTTCACGTCATCGCAAACAGGGACACCTCAGGTCTATTCCTTCCGCCGCGTTCACAAATACCAGAAACCCACGGGGCCTAGGACTGCCCCTGGGGGGACCCCGGGTCACGGGGCCCCCACTCTAAACCCCTCGCCCGTACATGACTCTTGCTTTCTTCCCTGACAAGTTTCCCTGTCCATTGAAATCCCTTCCCTGTTATCCCTGTTTGGCCCCCTCCTTTTTTTCACCAATTCTTGTGTGGAACTGTGTCAAACGCCTTCTTCAGCCAAAAAATCAATCCACCCACCCCTCTCTCTCTTTCTTACTGCGTCCATGCATAGAACTCCATGGGTTTGTGACACAGGTTTCCCCCGCCCCTGAAACCACGTTGGTGTGTGAGGATCGTTCCTTTCTAGGTTTCCACATCTTCTCCTGTTTAATTTCTCCTGATTTTGCATACAACATGTCAGTGACACGGTCGTAGTTTAATTTTCAGGGTTTTTCCTTTTTTAAAGTTTGGGGCTACATTTGGCTTCCATGCTCAGGAAAATTCCCTGTTTTCGATAGATGTTTTGAATTTGTTGTTAGGGGCAATAGCGCCTCGCTCCCTCTATCAATACCCATGGGGGATTTTACTGGCCCCCATTCCCTTGAGGTATCTAGCTCACCAGAACCTCTTAAACTTCTTCCTCGGTTTGGCACTGTGTCCAGCACATGGGGTGTGCCCCACCTCTCCGTTTTTCTGCAGCTTTTTCTGTCTCCTCTGGAATTCTTTGAATCTTTGGTTTTTCACATACTTAGGGTCATTTCTTGTTGTCTCCCCTTCCTTCCTTAGCCTGTTCCCTGGCCCTTTGTGTTGTTTTCCTCCTGATGTGGCTGAAAAACAGTTTGGGGTCAGTTTTGGCTTTCGCTGCTATGTCATTTTATATTGTTTTTGGGCCTCCCTTCTTATCTGTGCTTTTTCTTTTCTGGCCTACGACTGTTCTCCTTATTCCCGGGGTCCTTCCTTCTATATTTCTTCCATTCCCCTACACATTTGGTTTTTTTTGCCCCCGCACCTTTGGGTAACCAGGGGCTCTCCTGGCTTTTTTTTTATTCCTTTTTCCCCTTTGGGGTACAAACCCCCTCCTCAGCCTCCTTGCATTTTTGTTGCAACATATTCCACATTCATTAACGGCTTCCCGCCATTCTCTGCCCCATGAACCCCTTCAGGTATTCCTCATTCCTGTTTTCCCCCCTTTTTCTTGTATTTGGCTTCATTCGTCCTGGCCTTCCTGCTTTTTTCCCTCCATGAGCCAACTGTGTATTCGAAGCTTAAAACCCTGGTCAGGGGCCCCCAAAGGGGGTCTTTTCATATGGATGTCCTCGATATCTGCACACCCCAAGGGTGAATACTAAGCCGCCATGCTGGTTCCCCTCTCCTCTCTCTTTTTTTAGGTTCCCTTACGTTTGGCCCCACATAATTTTCCATACCACCTCCATCATCTTAGCCCTCCCCTGTTTTTCCCCATGGGGGGTCCAAGTTTCCCAATCGATCTCCTTGTGGTTAAAGTCACCCATGTCAGGGGGCTTTGCCCCGCTGCATGGCTCTTTTGGCCACTCTACCTGTGTCAACCATCGTCTTGCTCTGCACTCTTGCCTTTGGGGTCCGCTGTTCTGTGGTGGGTTATACATCACTGTGTGTGTGTGTGTTGGGGGGGGTTTGCGTTGGTGGTTGTGCGTGGGGGGTTGTCTGGGGGTTGTGCTGGGTGGTTGTGCTGGGGGTTGTGCTGGGGGGTTGTGCGTGGGGGGTTGTGCGTGGGTGGTTTTTTCGTGGGGGGTTTTGCGTGGGTGGTTGTGCGTGGGTGTTGTGCGTGGTGGTTGTGTGTGGTGTGTGTGTGTGTGTGTGTGTGTGTGGTGTGTGTGTGTGTGTGTGTTGTGGTGTGTGTGTGTTTGGTGTGTGTGTTGTGTTTTGGGTGGTGTGTGTGTGTTGTGGTGGTGTGTGTGGTGTGTGGTGTGTGTGGTGTGTGTGTGTGTGGTGTGTGGGGTGGTGGGGTGTGTGTGGGGGTGTGTTTTGTGTGGGGTGGGGGGTGTGTTTGGGGGGGGTGTGTGGTGTGTGTGTGTGGGTGTGTGTGTGTGGTGTGTGGGGGTGGGGTGTGTGTGTGGTGTGTGTGGGGTGTGTGTTGTTGTGGGTGTGGGTGTGTGTGTGTGTGGTGTGTGTGGGTGGGTGTGTGTGGTGGGTGTGGTGTGGGGTTTGGGGTGTGGGGGTGTGTTTTGTGGTGTGTGGGGTGTGGTGTGTGTGGGGTGTGGTGGGTGTGGTGTGTGTGGTTGGGTGTGTGTGGTTTTGTGTGTGTGTGGGGTTGTGTGTGGTGGTGTGTGTGGGGGGGTGGGGGGGGGTGTGGGGGTGTGTGTGTGGTGGTGTGTGTGGGTGTGTGTGTGGTGGTGTGTGTGTTGGTGTGTGTGTGGGGGTGTGTGTGGGGGGGTGTGGTTTGGGGGTGGTGTGTGGGGGTGTGGTGTTGGGGTGGGGTTGTGTTGGTTGTGTTGTTTGGTGTGTGGTGGTTGGGGGGGTGGGGTGTGTGTGGTGTGGTGTTTTGTGGTGTGGGTGTTGGTTGTGTGTGTGGGGGTGTGGGTGGTGTGTGTGGGGGGTGTGTGTGGGGTGTGTGTGGTGTGTGTGTGTTGGGTGTGTGTGGTGGTGTGTTTTGGGTTTTGTGTGGGTTTGTGTGTGGTGTGTGTGGGGGTGGTGTGGTGGGGGGGTGTGTGTGTGGTGGGGGGTTGGTGTGTGGGGGGTGTGTGTGGTGTGTGTGGGGTGGGGGGGTGTGGGGTGTGGTGTGGGGGTGTGGGGGGGGGTGTGGGTGTGTGTGGTGTGTGTGTGGGGTTTTGTGTGTTGGTGTGTGTGTGGTGGGTGTGTTTTGGTGTTGTGTTGGTGTGGGTGTGGTGGTGTGTGTGGTGGTTGGTGTTTTGGTGGGTGTGTGGGTGTGTTGTGTGGTGTGTGTGGTGGGGGTGTGTGTGGGGTGGGTGTGGGGTTGTGGTGTTGGGTGGTGGGTTTGTGGTGGTGGGGTTTGGGGGTGGTGTGTTGGTGTGGTGTGGGGGGGGGTGGGGGGTTGTTGGGTGGTGTGGGGGGGGGGTGGGTGTGTGTGTGGTGTGTTGGTGTGGGGTGTGGTGTGGTGTGTGTGTGGGTGTGTTTGGGGGTGTGTGGGGGGGTGGGGTGTGTGTGTGGTGTGGTGGGTGGGGGGGTGTGTGGGGGTGGTGGGTGGGGTGGTGTGTGTGGGTGTGGTTGTGGGTTTTGGGGTGTGGGGTGGGGGTGTGTGGGGGGGGGGGTGGGGTGGTTGGGTTGGGGTTTTGGTGTTTTGGGTGGGGGGTGTGGGGGGGTGTGGGGTGGGGGGGGGGGGGTGTGGGTGTTGGTGGGGGTGTGTGGTGGTTGTGTTGGTGGGTGGTGTGTGTTTTGTGTTGGTGTGTGTGGGTGTGTGTGGGTGTGTGTTTGGGGTTGGGTTTTGTGGTGGTTGTGGGGGTGGTTTTGTGGGGGTGTGGTGGGGTTGTGGGGTTGTGGTGGTTGTGTGTTTTGGGGTGTGTGGTGTGGGGGTGGGTGTGGGGGGTGTGTTTTGGGTGGGGGTGGGGGTTGTGGGGTGTGTGTGTGTGGGTGTGTTTGGTGTGTTGTGTGTTTTGTGTGTTG